CCCCAAAACCCCAAAACCCCAAAACCCCAAAACCCCATTGATATTAATTTTACAAACAAATAGAGATGAAATATGAAAATACTTAATTAACGATAAGCGGTAGCGATTATCATTTACTCTAATCAAGCCTTTTATAGTTTACTTTCCATTTCCTTATCAGGAATACCGCAATCATTGATTTAGTTACATAACTCATCAACCTATCTACTAAGTAAGAAAAGATCTAGTTTGTTGGTGATTACATCCTCTATTGGGGCATTTGATACACCACCCTGTTTTTGAATAATTCTCTTTTATTATTTCATCATTTGTCTTTGTTACTACTCAAGTCTCTGCTGCTCAAATACAAGTTCCTCAGTTGCTTCATTAAGTTGATAAACATGATTGCAGAGATATTGTGGTGTGGCGAGTTTGAATAAGTTAGTGTTGAAAGCTGGCATATGTGGTTGAATGTGGTCAAAGAGGAATGCCTATAAGAGATGACTTCTGTGAATTCTGATTGGAACTTCTTCGAAGAGTTCTTGAATGGTTAGTTACGATTATCTGATCTTATCTTGCACTAAATTCATCTTGTCAATTGTAGTGTTAGCATTTTTCTCAAGAGTTTCAATAGCTTTGCCTGAAAGTCTATAGCAATGAAGAGGATTCATTCCATAGTTTGCCTTGCTGATGTCATAGATTAAAAACACTGAGTTTTTGAACTGCTTGTAGCACTTGTACAAATTATTGAGAGTGTCTGTATTGAAAGTAAGTCCCATATGAGCGCTTAAGTAAAATCCAACTTTATTGGTATCCATAAGCTTTTGACTCTCATTTTCCATGGCAGCTGTCAATTCCTCCATTTGAGATTTATTTACCTCTGGCATTGTTTAGGTGATCATCAAAGTATCATCTTTTAATACTCCCATCAAATTACCTTGTCCACCTTGTCTCCAGTCAGCATCTCTGCAATGTTTAACCATGTTTAGAAGAGCTGGAGTATCAATCATTACTCTGTGTAAGTGAACTCTGTTCAATTGAGCTGAAGCGCTTTCGCCAGTGATTTCTGCCATATTAAATATTAATAATTTATCTGTGCAATTAGATTATCTTTGCTTCTCTTTATGTTAACTTTATGGATCGAGGGGTTTTGGGGTTTTGGGGTTTTGGGGTTTTGGGG